AGCTTTGTTGTTCTGACGTTATCTTCTGAGTCTGAGGAAACATTGAGATCAACAGTAATCAGTGGAAACATTCCTTCATTTTCCATCGTAAACATCAACTGGATGAATCTTCATGAATTATTCATGAACTCTGAGCATCTGATGGATCAGAACAGAGACGCAGAGATTCAACCTTTGACCTCAAAGTTTCCTTGATTCAGCAAACCTGATCTGAGCAATGACTGATTAACAGGATTTAGTTTTACTTGTCTTCCAGTTACTGTTGGACACCAGGTCAAAGGTCACAACAACAGTTTCTACTGAACCAGTGGTTGGTTGGGTCTGGTTTAAAAACACCCTGCTGGGGTCACGCAGAGGTCAACATGTCTGTTCTGGGAGTTAATCTCCCATGAGATCCATCTGACCCTCATGAAGAAGTTATCTGGACCAGGAGAGAGGAGAGGATCTGGACTTAGATTCTGACCCACTGGGTCAAACAGAACATCATTCATTACAGGGAAATGTGATGGATGTGTAACAAATGAAACCATAGAAAATATTCTGATGTGATGTGGAAGACAGAAAAACTGATTCACAACCTGGGAAAGTTAACCTGGATAATATGAAAGATATCCCAGCCAGATGGTGGCAGTAATTCACTGTATCGTTGTTTTCTAACCACCACAAAATGAGAAGAAGAAGAAGTAGGGTCTGTGACAGAACCGCTGTGTCCTCCAAAGGCTGCATCTAAAGGAGAATTACGCCACAGCGATGCCCCTATTGGTCCTTCTCCTCCTCGTGTTCGGAGGTTGGGTCTGGTGTGTACTTCACTCTCCACCGTATCCCAGGATGCATTGCAGGCTGGCAGTGTTAAATTCAGGCAGGACGGGAATAAAGTTAAATCCTAACCCGTCCAAATTCACTGCGGTCCAGTCCTGTCTCTCATTGAGAATTTGGCGCTTTATGAAGCCAAAACACGACAACAGAGACCCTGGATTGTTGAGCAACTGAAGCTGTTCATCAAGAAAGAGCAGGAGGGAACTCCACCCTAAAGCTTCACCCGGAGAGGCTACTAGCTCCTTCAAAGGATGCTGCCTCCCAATTTCTCTTTGAATATGCGTCACAATTATGCGACATA